GTGTGGGTACACTGAAATGAGTGACTCAGATAAAAGTCTTTGCTTTTTGATATCCTTTCTAGTTAGTTGTCCTATGCAACAATAACACCAAGGAGTTGCCAATTTAATACTAACTTTGTCTTAATAAAATTTAAGAAGCTTTGTTTTGTGAGCCATCATCATCATTATGATCAAGGAACAGAATTCTCATATAACTTAAAAATTCACACGATGCATATTGAAAAGGAAGACATTTCAAATGATAGTATTGTAAGAGTATAATGGGAATCTTCAAATTTCAAATAACTAAATGGTCTCCAATCTCCTTTGTGAAGGAAAGTGTATTACTATAGTTTCAACATTTAAAGAGCTCCAGCTAAAAGATTGGGAATTTCTATGACATTACATTCTTTAACTAAAAGTATAAAACTGGCAGTGGAAAAAAAGCCCAACTGCTTCAATCATGGGCACATTAACACTGTTAACAATTTAAATAAAATGGATCACATTTATGAAGGCTGTGCTTCTGAAAGAAAAATCACAGGGTTTAAATATAATCACTAATTATCTCCTTATAACCTGCAGAGGGCACTCAAGTCCCTTGAAAGAAAAAGTAAAAAATTTAAGAGTAACACTTTATTTTTCATTTTTATCATTAGTAGTGCACGAACAATTTTTAATAGAAATTATCGCTTAAAAAATTTAAGGGGAACATTCAGCTTGCCATTAGATGTTTAACAGATTATTAAGATATTGAAGTGTTCACATGTCCTACTGGCAACACAATTCAGCAGGTGGTTTCCATCTCAGGTCATCCTTCAGTCTGTATATGCTGTGCATTACATACTAACTCCACATTGCCATTAATTACAGATTAGTCAGGGCCTTGGAGGAACTGTGGGATACTTGCTACATGACAGTAAACCAGTAATACAGATATGGCACTGCACTGCTCCAAGTTATTTGTGAGCAATATTATCATGCCCATTAAAACAGTTGGTGAAAAAAATTAGAAGCTAATTGAAAAGCTTGTGGCTTGCAAGAGTTTCAATCACTTTGTAAGAATAATCTTGTGAGATCTTTGGTAATTTCCATTGTAACAAACTTCATTATTACTAAGATTGTTTGGAGGGAAGATATTTAATTAGTTGACCTTAATAGCAAAACATTTCATAGGGAGGTCCACCCAAACACACTAACATATTAGATACACTTTATAGACAATGCATGAATACATACCTTTATGTTTTAAATGTATTTTCTCTGTATCTCATGATGGCATGTTTAAAAAACTACTGCATGAAGTAATTATTAAAAATGCTAGTTTCTTAAATGGGGGAATCTCTCCATCTTATTTTTTTTTTCTGATCTTCAGTTCTGCTGTGGTAAAGTAACTTGCTATCAAAAGATATTTGGGAAAAGTTTGGTTACTAAATTGAAAGCAGAGCCTGGATTGGCATCAGTATAAATTAGATTTGCATTCTCCCAGTCACTGTTACAGTTAGAAACTGGGTCACAAAAACTTGAGCCAAAAATATGTATAATTATCTAAATGCATAGTTTGTCGTGCAAACTGTTATTAGAATCATAATTATAAAGCATTAAATTGTCTATAACTGATTTTTGAAAACACATTTTGCAACAAGTTGCTTTTTTTAAGGGTCTTGAAATATACTTGAGGAATCCCTTAATTTGATGCTATACAAGATAAATTGACATTGATATTAGGTTTTAAAAGTGAATTGAAAAACTATCATGAAAGAAATATCTTAAAATTTTATGCTTAAAACATTGTATACAACTTCGAAGTTTTAAAATTATAGAAGAAGAGGTATCCTATTAAATGAGGTAAAAAGGTAGAAAACAGTACTTTGGGACTTTTAAAATAATTTAAAATAATTATTTTGAAATGTTTTTATGATGGCACCATTAGTTTTATGGTATTATTTTGAAAACAAATGGTATTATTTTTATGATGGGGACATAAGTTCCTTTTCCTAAGGACAAAGTTAACAAACTTTTGAAATCAGAAGTCCTAAGATGAGTAATTTTGTATTACAACATATTCTCCCTATTTGGCTTTCTTTACCAACATGGTAAGACAATTTTTAACAGGGGTAGAGAAGGGAAAGACTGGACATTCTATAGCCAATGCTTTGATTTTTGGGTTATCTCAGGGCAAACAGTACATATCCTAGTATATGAAACAAAACTAGAAGATATACTTAGAATGTAGTCTTTGTTTCTTCTTCCTTCAAAGTCCATGTTTCCTAAAATAATTGTTAGGCAAAGCAAAAAGAAATGTTTGTTCTATTACGTAAGAAAAAAACTTCATTTGGTATTCAATTGACTTTCTAACTTAGCAGACAGGACTTTACATCTTCAAATACTGAAAATAAATTGCATTCTTGGCCCTTGCTTTAAAAGGTTATAGAGAATGAACACACACCCTGGTAGTGTTCTAGTGATCTCCCTAATCTCAGTTGCACTTTGTCAGAACGAGGTAACTGGTAGTTAAGTGAAATACCCTAGATCAAAGGGGGATTAATCACCAACTGAATCCTTGCTGAATAAACCTGTCATTCAAGAAAATTATTTCCACTGAACTTAGCAGAGGATTGAAGGTATTTGCATAACAGGGACCAACGTACTTCAGCCAGGTTAAAAGGTTCAGAATTCATCCCATGTTTAGCTTTTTGCCTCCTTTTCCTTTCAGCAGTTTGGTACAATGGTTTCTAATCTGATAATACAGCTAACTATCTAAATGATGTCAGAACAGGAAAGTATTGCAAAGTTTGGATGAGGGATGGATCAATTTCACTTTCAGTAACTCCTAAATCTGATTTGTTGGAATTTAAGATGTAATCCTAAAAAAGTCCCTTAAACCTGAGGACTGTTTATTAACATCCCTTTTCTGACCTTTGTCTTAGAAACAACCATTCTGCTGTGCCAGTGGGCCCTGTATTGGCTCTGGATAACTTGACCTACTTACCTCCCAGGGTGGTGCAGGAGTCTGTGAAGTCTATAAAGTATTTTGGTTACTGTAATAAAAACTAGAAGGATAACATTAGCAGTGCTTCTATTTGTGAAATTGTGCTTTAAAGGATCTTAAAATACAATGTATAAACCACAATTTAAAAAAAAAAAAGCCACAATTTTATCTCAATAATGAGCTGGGGTGAAAAACTTAGGTTTTATGAGACACACTAATGTTTGATCCATCAACAAAATTTCTCTTAAGAATTTCCTGATGAGGCTATTTATTTCAAGCCTGATGTTTGAATCAACTATTTAAAAAGTAAAAAAAAAAAAAAAAAGTCTATCACTATAATGGTATATAACCTTACACTGCAAAGGGTATTGCTGGCTTAAAGTTTAAAAACTAGTACCTGACAAAAAAAAAAAAAGGAAGGATTTTTATTAAAATCATGAACCATCTTTCTACCTTTTGGGTATACTAAAGGTAATTACTCATATGATAAGACATTAGATTTCATAATCATATTTTGGCACGAAAAGGGAATTTAGCAATTTTCCATCTAGAGTAGGTCTAACACCATCCAAATCTTTAACTGGGAATAGGTGCTCATATTCACTAAGTGCAAAGCATCTTTCAAGTTATAAAATGCAAAGAATTGTTATCAAAGAAAATGAATAAAATCCATAGTGAGATAATTTTTTAGAAAATGATTGAAGTTTTAACCCAAGAAAGGACTCTGAGAGTGTCTTATAGCTTAGAATAAGAACATGTCAATCACGATTAAGCTTCTGGAATCGGAATCCCTTTGAAATGCAGCTGTTTCTTCTTTAATTGTGGCAGCAGACTCTGAAGAAAAGAAAGGTCCAGCCTTAAAGATGAGTAAGGAATACAAAATAGCTCAGGATTAGTTGTAGAGTTCAAAGGTCGCTAATTACACTAAGGAGTTCCCAGACACAGGGAAAACATTAAACAGGTCACCTACCAAACGGGAAACAGACTTTGTCTTCAGAAATTATCCTGAAGTGACAGGTTTCTAGACAAAATCAAAAGCATCACAGTGTGCCCAGCTGACCTCACTAGGATGAAAACATGAGTTGGTTCTGGTGCTGCAGTTATGTTAGGTGTGATGGCAACAGATGGCATCAGGTTCCCTCCTGATTGCCCTTACACTTTTCCAATACATCCTAAGATTTTCCTAGGTTTTCTAGAAGTATCAAATCATTCACTGGTTTTCTGCTTGCTTATAAAGAAAGTTTTCTCTAGGGGATGTTAATACGGACTCTCTGACTACTCACTAGATACATGCTTCTTGCCTATTGAGTATATTTTGCTAAAAACTTCTATTAATTAAGATGTCCAAAATGATTCCATTAATACTAACAAATTAAATGTTAAGATTTCCTTGAATTTAAGAGAGATCAAATAGGTTAAGGGCATGATTTTTTCTTCTTTTAAGAGGAAAGATTTTCATTACTGACTATCTATGATTAAACTAGAATACTAAGTCATGGCCAGGCATTTCCTTCCTATTTGGGATAATATTGAACATGGAACATTATGTTATGATAATGCCTTATAGAAAATGAGAATTTGTATGAATAAGATTGATCCTAATTGAAAAATTGTATTTCAAATCCTAAATTTATATGCAATATCCCTTCAACTACTGGAACTCTTGAGGAGTTAGCTGCTTTTTCTAATCTTTTTTAAGATTCATAAAAAACAGAAACCAAGATATAATTTACTTGAGTAATAGTCTATAATTTTAAATAGCACTTCCAATTCTGTTCTGTAAAAGGAAGTCTGACACAGCTTAAGTTTTGAGGATCTTGAGGTTTCATCTTATCTTAAATGGTCACTTTAAGTCTTGACAATGATCGCTTCAAAAACAGAATGTGACATATAATTAAGTATAACACACAAGTAGAGAGTAAAGATTATGACTAGATGGTTCCTGAAGAAACAAAGAGAATACATAAGAAAGCAAGATACCATGAAATATGATTAAACTGACACTACCCACATGATGGCTTTCAAATTTATCTGCATTTATTCATTAATATCAATATGATAAAACACAGGCAAGAAATATATGTAAATTTATATTTAAAAATTTAGCTACAGACATTAAGGGATTACAAAATACTCTGTTCATCTTCTGACGGTATCCCGTCCATCTTAATGTGCTTACTGACATTGTAAGCGAAATGTTATTATGGCAGATTAATAAGCTTATCCGAAAAGTCATTCTAAAACAAAAACATCTTAAATAGAAGGGTTATTAGCCAATAAATAATTTTGATTAAGAAGATTACTGTTTAAACTATTTTCCTTGGCTCTTTTTTCAGGAATTTATATACAGTTGTTTCTAATGTGGTCTATGGTATTCTATAACAACACATTGCACTAGGAATTTTGTACTGAGGTTGGGAAAGCAAAGTTTTTTTTATCTTGCATATCAACCATATTCCATCAGGAGTTGTTGTATGTACTAAAGATCCTGAGCCTCTACCCAGGAGACTTAAAGAGGACAAAGAGGCTCTGATCGATTAGTCATGTCTGCCACATGGGCAGAACATGTAAGGCAGGGACATCAAGGACTAGCCTGAAATAAGCCTACACTGTTTAATGTGCTGACTCATATTTGAGTAAAATAAAAAGGAAACAAATTGGAGACATTAGTCTTTAAAATGTTCTTTCAAACCATAGCAGGCTAAAAACATGAAAATGGAGCCTTTTATTAGTAAATGATTCAATAATTGCTTTTTACTGATGGGTTATATACATATATATTAAAAACAAAAGAGTGATTTAATTTAAGCTATGTCAGTTTGTATAAGTCGCACTTAAACATGAGAGAGTTATAGTAATAATGATCCATATGTTACTGGAGCAGGGGCCTTAGAATTCCAGATGTAATAGTCAGAAGAAACTAGTTTCCGGTCTAAAAAAAAAAGAAGACAAATTATTTTACAAAATCTCAAAGAAGAGAGGGAAGTCATGCTTTTTTTAAAACTCATGGGATGCATTTCAAGGAAAGTAATACTATGAAACAGCCATTGTAGTGTATTTTATCAAGGCATTAAACAACATGGGTTCCTTACATATTTGAATAATCTACCTTTCAGCATATTTATGTCAAATTTATGACATACTGTCATTTACGCAAAATTTTCCATTCCCCCCCACCCCCCTAAATTGTTTCTTGGCTCATTATTTCAACTACAAAGACATTAGGAAGTTTTGGTTTCCTTTCTGTAACCTCTTCACCATGACCCTGATTCTGTTCTTGCTATTGTTTTCCTATTCAAAGAGTCACAGACACAAATAAACAACTTTCTAGTAGTATTTTAAAATGTTGCTTTAGTGTTTTTTCTTATAGTTCCGATCAAATTTAAATTTTTGCTTTTATAGCTTTAGACAAATGCATTTTCTCCTCTTTTATTATCCCATATAAAATACTGGTCTACTTGGCATTCAAACCAAACCATTGCCTTTTGGTTAAACTGCCATAATCATATTATGCCTTCATTAAAAAAATGCATTATAAAGAGTTTTATATGAAAGCATTTCTATAAAACACATCCACAAATATTACGTAAGGTAAAGCCTAGTGAGAAAACATGGTTTCTTCTGTTTATATTACACAGATTTTATTATTGCCATTCACTAGTAATTCTTAGAATTTTGTAGTTCCGAGTTCTATAACTTTTGAAACTTTCAAGTACAGGGTAAGGAACATTTATCTAAACCCAACAGTTTTATTCTCCTTAATATATTTGGCAAAGGTTTCTGTTTGCATTTAGCTAAGTCTACTTCGTTCTAGCTGCTTTCTATTCTGCTTTCCATTTTACACCATGGATATATAATTTGGTGTGTATTAGGCAGTTCTGAATTCACTTAACATTGAGAGGAAAGATAACATTAAGTCTCTCTGGTGAGAGACTAATGTTATAGATTAATATAACATTGATGAGAGACCAATGTGTTATAGATTACCTAAGAGACTGACAGTATCTTTTTAGAGTATGTCTGACATATAAGTATCCATATTAATTGTACATACCAAAATAATTTTCAGAGTATATAATGCAGATTGGGGCATTTTAGTAATATACACCTTTTTTTTAAACATATATATTGAGTGAAAAAAGCTATTTTAAATGGATAATTATGACCAATCTTTTATTCTCTTTCTCTGTTAGTTTCAGAATATGACTTACTTTGTGCCACTATGCAAAACCCTTTACTTTGTTATCATCTTGAAAATAAAATCTGTATTCACAATATACAACTTAGTTTTGAAAATAGTTCGATAATGCTCATAATAATGGTAATGTTAATTTAAATACTAACAGCTAGCATTTAGTGCCAGGCACAACTCATTCATCCTCATAGTACCTTGTGTGAGTGTTATTATCTATATTTCACAGATGAGGGTACTGAGAGAGAGTAGGGTCACATAGGTAGTACTAAATAGCGAACTGGGAATGAAACCCAAGCAGGGCTCTGGGACCATTTTGTAGATGAGGAAACAAAACATCTTCAAGTACTACATTGGCTTGCCCTAAGTTACACAGCTAATAAATTCTGAGTCAGACTCAAGACCTTGTCTGTCCAATACCAAAGTCCCCCTGAACAATCTATGAATGCAACAGTATATATTATAACCAGACTGAAACAAATGCAACTTTATACTGAAGCCCACCTCTAACTCAATTCTTACTCCCCTGGATTATTTTATAAACTGAAGGCAGACAAGTACACATCCTGTTATATAGAATGGCTTCAGGCCACAATTTTTATAAATTGGGATTATTTTCTAGTCTCTTTCTGTTACACTTTAATTTTACTTTGGGTTATTATCTCATAACATCATTTTAATTTCAAGTTTCTTTGAAGCTGTAAAACTTACGTGTACTTATCTTTGGTTTTCCTGATGTAAAAACTTGAACCGAATGCTGATCTGCGTAACACCCAGTGAGAGTGTAATCTAAGATCTTAAAATGAAGCTAGAAAAAGGAGAGAAACAACAAGTTGAGATGATTGCTTGGTAAAAATGATAGTTACACTTTTTCCCCTGACATAATTTCAGGGATTTAGCTTATATAGTTCACAAAATAAGAATTACAAATACTAAACTCAAACATTGTGTGGGTATGAATTTGTACACATACACACAGCTTTTCCTTCTTGCCTTAGGCCTGTTTCTTTGTAAGGGTGTCATTATGAAGTGCTTAACACACACCAGGTACTTCACTAACACAAACTCTAGTCCATACTGCAAAGTTTTTTTAATTCATAAATAAATGGACTGAGTAAGAAGTGAAAGTGACTGACATCCCAGTATATAAGCATCAGAGCTGGCATTTGACTCAGACCTAACTGATCATTTACAAAAGCTGGTACTCTTTCCTCTATCGTATCTGTTGTTCTGTATATTCACTTTTATCACTAAGGCTATATGGTTGTGATGCATTTCACAACATAGTTCTTTTATTTGCAGAAATATCTATATATAGATATTATAGCAAAACAGTATCTACCTTCTAGCAAAACGTAAGATTGTAATTACTAATACAGAAACACCAGTTTATTTGGTGTTTGGAGGGAATGAAATGCTCTACTCAATTTGCCAGAAAAGTGAAATTTAACTTTAGAAAACTAAGCTGTTGGGGCCTCCCTGGTGGCACAGGGATTAAAGTTAGACAATCAAGCTATCACCAGCCACTGTGGAGATACCCAGCCACGGAGCCAACCCACATGGTGTAGCAGACCTCTCTGATCTCACCTGCAACGCCCCACAGCAGTGTATTTCAATAGATCAGCCTGTTCTGTTCTCCACTCTCTGGTGAATCCTCTCAACCGCTGGACCACTGGCCTACACCCTATATAAATACTACTCCCAAATAAAATATTTATTACTTCTTCTTTCCCCTATAAAAAGGTTCTACAATGTAATTGTTAGGGGGACTCCACTCCTACTCTAGCTTTCTGGATTCCACTCCTTAATTCAGTGATTGGAAACCTACAATTAGCAGTACCAAGGAGAGAACTGCAAGGAACCAAGGGTGCAGCTAAGCAGGCATTCTGGGACTCTGGGGGATAAATAGTGAGCGGATTTCCAACTGTCGCTCTGGAGAGGTAATGGTTCTCTATCTCTGGAGCAACTGCTCTGACCGTGTGACTGGGGCTAGCAGCATTAGTTTGGGACTAGAGCTCCAACTTAGCCGCTGGTAAAGTATTTCAGCTACTTTGTACCCCTTGTTCTTTCCCTGGGTTGTTTCCTTTTCTTTCCCCTTTTTGTAAATAACCCCATTACCCTTTCTCTGTGTGCCTGCAGAAAATTACATTTTGAGCCTGTGGGTGAGGCCCCACAGACTGGCAGCCCAAGTCCACTCTGGGCTACACTATAACATAATCAATCCACCATTCCTGGATTTAATTAATTATGTGGTGTCAGTGGTAGAAACTGTGCACCAGCAAAAATGGCAAGAGTGGGCCATTAGGTCACATCTCTGAAGGCTCAGTGCTGGGGTGCCTCAGAGTCACAATGGCAGTCACATGAACTATGACATAACTGTGTCTGATCCATCTCCTTTTGCTGAGGCCATCTTCTCCTCACCACTGTTGCAAAGCTTCCAATTTTGCAAAATCCTGATTAGATGTCTTCTCTTATACAGTCTTCTCTGTATACTGTTTTCTTCAATCTTCCTTTACTACAAATTATTCCCTTTCCCTCACTTTCTCCTTTTGAGTGTCAAAGTAACTGATCACATGCTTAGAATGTAATTTTCAAATCTCCTCAACAATTTTTTTTTCTGGTTTGACTCAAATTATCCCTAGTAGTAAAGAACATGCTGGACTGCTAGGGGTAATTCTGGATGGTGGAAGTTATGACATAGTTGATTTCTGTATGACTAGATACTATAACAATCATTCAGTGAACACAAATATGTAATTCAGGCTTTTGATAGATTATAATTGACAGGTGATGGAAATAAAAAAGTCACAATCCCTACCTCTGAAAGATATACAAAAGGGCAAAAATCCCACATTTAATCAGAAAAGTATTTGGAAGTAGTAGTTTTTATAGTTTTTTTGAAATGAAGCTTATAGACAGACATAGGTAAATCTAAAACAAGAAATGAGTACCATTATAGTTCTGACATCACTACTATTTCCCCTAATTCCATTTATAAATAGATTCCAATTTTTCTTCTTTGATGTATTTGATACTGTCCTATTTAGGCTTTTCTGCTACATTTCTGTTAAGTCCTTCAGGTTCCTTTACTGGCTCTCTAAAACGTCTTTCTGCTTTCTCTTACTTTTCCTTTCTTTCACCCTTTTTCATTTCTACTACCTTAACTACTTCTTCTCCATAGATAACACCTAAATTCTGATATAATTGAGCTGTCTTTTGAAAAATCAAGCTTCAGGCTCTAGCTACTTACTGAATGATTATATTTTTGCTCTTAGCAGTAACTTACATGTTTGAAAAGTCTACTCCCAACCTTCCCCATTATCAGTACTTTCTTCTAAATATGTTATCCATTCATCAAATCTTTATGTGCAACTAGATGTTGGAGATAACACAAAGAAGGAGACTCACCTGGGCTTGTTCTCTGGAGTTTTAAATCTGGTTTAAGTGACATATATTTTTAAAATAATATTACCTTAACTTAAAACTATTTCTTGTGTTATATTTAATTAGGGACCAAGGCTTTACCTTTATCACAGGTCTCACAGCAGTATCATACTGTTACTCCTGTCTTACTCTGTGACACTGCTCTAGTTCAGCATCATTAATTTACTAACTTTCATTTGGGTACTAATATAGTTTAAAAGAAGCTACTTTTCTTTTTTTCCCCTAGCATCTTCTTCACAGTCATATGAAAACAACAGTCATAAAATAGCTTTTTGTAAGGTCACTCAGCACTCAAAGTCTAACATTTTCTACCAAAAGAGTAAAATCCAGACCTCAACTATTTCTGGTAACAGTTGGACCACAATAGGTCTGGTATACTTAGTGTGCATTGTTCATTTTTGCAAGTCATTTCTTTACCTATACAAATGTTAGTCATCTTCAAGCCTTTATGTTCGTTTTTACCTCAAAGAGCTTTGCTTAAACTCTAGCTTTCCTTGACCACTTTGGTCAGAAGTGTTCATTCTTTCCTTAGAACAGCAAAGGCATTGGTGCTGATCAATTATTCACATGTATTTTTCAAACACCTTTACCTTTCAGGTGGTAAGAATTAGGAAAAACTAGTTTAAGTCGGGAATATTTAGGTTATACTTGACTGTTTCAACTTAAATTTTTTTAAGCATTAAGTGAAATAAAAAATAACTAATACTAAACAAAGAATCTGAAAAATTCTAAAAAAGGACTTAGACAAAAAAGGAACTGTCTCCAAAGTGGCTAAAAGGAAAATTAAAAAATCAATTACGATACATGCAATTAGAAATGAAGCAAAGCAACTTAAGGTCCTCAGTCAGACATATACATACCTTTAAATACGCTGTACCTCCAATGCAAATCTGGTCAAATGGCTGTTTGTCATGGCTCTTGGCCCCAAAAGTTATTGTTCCAGAAAGACTAATTTCCATTGATTTGGGGAACTTCTGTCCTAAAAACGAATACATCAAGTAAATTCTACAACAAATGAATGAAAAACAAAATCAATGAACAAAACCTAACTCACCAATAATCCAGATCAATAAGCTTTTCTCTCGAAATACTTCAAGTTGGCCGAAACTAGCTTTGTATTCCACATGTGTGATTGGACCTCTTCAAAAAAAAGAAATGTAAAAATGATCACAGATAAAACCCAAGTTAGATCCTGCTATAATTATTTAACAGAAGGACAAAAAACAAACAAATACCACCAGGAACAATGAGCATTTCTGGCAGTGATACACACTACTTGTTCTAACAGCAACTATAAAATCATATAGTTACATGGATTGACATAATATTAAAATCAAGCTTTTATTATACATGTAGGTATCCTCTGAAATGACTATGCTATATGTACATTAAAAGAACAGATAAAGAAATAATCATATGACATGGTGGCTTAATAAACCAGTAGATGTTAGTTGGACTTGACAGCTATATAGAATACAGGGAAATTGCTGGAAATAAAGCCAGGATGAACAATGCCAGAAGAAGGTACATTGGCTTATATTTGTAGCATACTATTAAGTTTAACCAAAAAAAAAAAAAAAAAAATAGACATATTTAAGGTCAGCGATTATTTTTATGATAATGCTTTAATTCAGAATCAGCATTCATTTCAATAATGTAAAATTTTTAGAACATACAGACAAGAAATAAGGACAATTTACTGCAAGGCAATGGAAGTGTACTAAGGTTAAAATCATAGCATCATATTATTTTATTCCTACCTATTGTAAAAAGGCATATGAGCTTCACAAAATTCAAAATTATTTTTCACACTTTCATGAAGTTTTAAATTAACTGTTATCTTTAATTGTATGTCTTCTTCTTTCATTTGGTAAAAACCCAAAATTGGTGGGACAGGGACCTAGAAACAAAAATAAACAAGTTTTTTATATAGTCTTAGAAAAACATCTAAAATATCAATGTTACCATTGAGAAAAAAAGGCTAGTAGTAATATGCAGAGATATAGATTATATAAAGATATGCCTTTAATAACTAATGGCTTCAAGTGTTTTTTTTTTTTAAAGTAAAATGGCTTATAACATTAAAGAGATTTCAGGTAAATATTATAAATTACTATCTGTGTGGACGGTATCATTTCAAGTTGTTTTGGTAATAGATGACAGAACTCCTTAGTTCTGAGGGCAGGGATTCTCCATCTTTCTGTTTCCAGAGATGAGAAAGGTGATTTATAAAGGTGTGCAATAGAATCTTTTTCATCCTCTTGTTTAGCAAAATTCATGCCTTACATATTCTCTAGAATCTGCAACACAGGTGTAGACTAGACTTACCGATCACTGTCAATCTATCAACAGTTCCTATTTCTCTATGTGTATTTTGTGATTTCCATACCTTCTAGCTCAGAAGTCGATCAATTTGTTATCAAGATTGAAGTGGAAATAATCTATCTGTAGGCTAGGGTTGGTAACTGTGATGTAAGACACAGAGACACTGTCCGTATACACTGTAGGTCATAACTGTAATGTCATATACAAGCCAAGAACATCCATTAAAAAAGAGGATGTTCTTTTTTTTAATGAGGCCCTCCCTGTTGGCACAGCAGATTAAGGCACAGCACTAGGAAGCTAAAGCCACTGCAGCATGAGTTCCATCCCCTATCCCAGAGGTGATCCACATGGTGTGGCAGGCCTCTCCTGACCCGCCCACTGCTCCCATTAGCAGTGTACTTTGTCCATCTGCCTATTCTTCTCCCCACTCTGTCTCTGGTGAATCCTCTCACCGCCCCTGCGCCTTTGGCTTGTACCCCAGTTCTGTATGCAAAATTAAATCTTTAAAAAAAAAAAAAAAGACATGCACAGCAGACCTCTCCTGTCTGACCCCTGCTCCCCTCAGCAGTGTATTTCAGTAGATCTGTCTGTTCTGTCCCCAACCCTGTCTCTGGTGAATCCTCTCACCCCACATAACTTTGGCCTGTACCCCCATTCTTGTATACATGAACAAATCTTTTTTTTAAAAAAAGATGAGATGGACAGTATAATCTAGAACATGGAGTGTATTACTGAGTTTTTATAGTCTGTCTTTAGACCCACTTTGAGTCTACTCCTTATCTTTGAATGGCAATGCCTCTTACAGTCTTAAAATAAATTCCCTTTACTTAAGTTTGTGTGAGTAGGTTCTTCTAAACTACTGATTCGCAACTAGAACAAGAGACTAAGGGCATAGGAGAAAAGATTATGTTTCAGTTCTGGAAAATGTGGATTCAAATCCAGAATCTGCTACTTATCAGTTATAGATCTTGTGCAAGTCATTTGCCTTTTTGGAGACTCTCCTCATCTATAAAATGGGACTAATCCAACCTTATTATTTATTTATTTTTTTAAAGATTTATTTATTTGTGCATACAGAACTGGGGTACAGGCCAGAGTCTCAGGGGGCGGCGAGAGACCTCACCAGAGACAGAGTGGGGAGCAGAACAGGCAGATCGACGAAGTACACTACTGAGGGGAGCAGCGGCCGGGTCAGGAGAGGTCTGCCACGCTATGTGGTCACCTCCGGGACAGGCTGGAATTGAACTCATGCGGAAGCGGCTTTAGATTCTCAGTGCTGGGCTTTAACCCGCTGTGCCATCAGGGAGGGCCCCAACCTTATTATTTTTAAAGTACTAGAGAAAATATATGTAATAAAGTATTTAGGACAATGCCTGACACAAAACAGTTACTCAATAAGCAATAAAAGCTATTAATATTAAATACTTATAATTACAGTTACAGTTAAGAATTTTAAGTTTATGGTTCAAATTATGACTAAATCATACCAGGGTCTAGCCTATGACCATGGAATCCTCATTATGGAAGATTAAAAAAATAACAATTCTCATGACTTGGAAAACCATTCTATGCTATCACATGAAACCAGAAATAAGAGGCATTCTATTCAAAGAACTGAACCTTCACTTTAAATCAGTTATTGTCTAGTAATAACTCACTGAAAAATTCTCCTTTTAGATCAAATGCGTGAATTACTTAAAAATTTATAAGTATAAGGTTAGCAAAAGTCTCAACTTTTCCAAAGTTGTTTTACCTGGGAAGTATAGTAGCATAAGTTGAATGATTCCAAAGGTGGACTGAAAGGAAACTTGTAAGGGCCACTAAATGCAGAATCATCCATTGCATCAATACTGCTCGAAGTCAGAATGGCAGAGTCAAGAGAAGTCACACAAGGATGAACTAGTATATCCTGAAGTGGAGATCCATTGGTGGGGAGACTCAAGCTGATGGTAACATTTGGCATGATTCCTTCTAAATCACACTACAGTATAGATGGAAAGAGATATTATTAGGATCTTAAAAGCACACATCTTCTGGGTAGGGCTTTTTTTCACAGTGCTGTGCTTTTAACACATTGTGCTACTAGGGAGGTCCCAGGGTGAAGCTTTTCTAAATTTATCTGAATCATAGTGCACAACTTAACTCACCTTTTCTCAAGATGAAGTTCTCTTGGCTTTCCGTCTATCATGCTGTCATTTCTTTCATTAAAAAAATGAAATTTTAGTTACAGTAAAAACACATGCTAAAGACATTTAAGAAGACTAAATTTGTCTATGACTCTACCATCAGTTAACAGATTAAAAGTGTATTATTATTTTTTTTTTTGGTCCTCAGTTCATATATCTTCATGTTTTCTTATAAAATCAGGATACCCACACATAATGACCAGCATGTTGCATCCTAACTTGTTCACAAAAAAAAAAATACTAAGTATTTTCCCATGGCCTTAAGTACTTTGTTTTTTATTCTATTGTGCGAACACTGGTTTATCATGCTATAGAGTCCAAAGTCAGAAACCAGAAGTGCCCTCCTGGAGCCCTATACTTACATTAAACCCTTAAAAATCCACTGACTTCTCTCCATGCCTCTTACAAACACATTGGTATGGGCTCTTAAAATGTCTCAACATGTATCTAGATTTGCTTTCCTGTAATCAATTCTTTATGCATGCCAGAGCTTTCTTAATGAAACATAATTCTAATTATATTGTACCCTTGCTCAAGGCCTTTCAGTAGTTCACCCTTGGTTTTACATTACTTTTAAAGCCTTTCATTGTCTGCCATCTACCTCTATAATCATTTTCTGCCCTATAACTAACACTATAATAGATTCTTAAATTTCACTGTTCAAATCACAATTTCTTTATTATTTTGGTCTCATCCTCCTTGTGTTGGCCTGGAGCCACTTCTGACAGCACTTGCATGCTTCCTTGATCTTAGGTTTTGGGTCTCAGCCTGACACTTAATGTGAGCTCTGTACGGCTTCAGCTTGTGAGTGTATTCTGAGAATCTGCCTGCTTTTTGAACATATTTCTCTTCAATTTTGGGTCTAGACTGTCATACATTATCTTCTGAGTCACCTGTGCAGACTTATCCTCATCCAGGTTAATCTTCTTGGACATTCAAGTGTTGGTATTATCCTTTCGCTTACCTATGCCCATATGCCTGCTTTTCTGGTAGGCCAAGTTGCTTTTTGGCATCGAGCTTGGGGATGGACAGTCACAGCTTCCTGGCTGATCAGCCTCTGTTTGATTATCTTTTGGATAGCTGGATTGTCAGTAGTTGGTACTAGGGACTTTATTGGCCTCAACGGGGCCCTATCACACCTTTTTGCCATAGTAAGAGGACACTGGAGCATACTCATGATTGGCCATAGTATATAGGTAAATATCATTTCTTATACCTGAATATTTTTATATGTGCTAGTCCTATCAGCTACAATCCTCTTTTCACTTCTTAAACTCAGTTCATTTAATATTTTCTCTGAAGCTTTATCCTTTACACTGTTAACCTCCACAGCCTGCTTCTGCTATGCAACAAAATTCAGAATCTTCTTGTGTGTTTTGGGTCAGTTTGCTGACAAATGGGAACTTCTGGGCGATTCAGACAGTAGAAAGGGAAAGGAAGTAAGTATTCTTGGAAGGTCACGGAAGCTAGATATGACAGCTTTAAAGACCATCCTCTGAGCTCCTGCTTTAAGGTTGTGGTGACCAGATGCAACATTTGATAGACATATCTATGAGTTCCTGCTTTGATGTTATAGGATGTGGTTCACAGCTTTCTCTGTGAACTCTGGCTTCTCAATATACTTTCACTCTCCAGACTCAAGTCAACTTTTACTATTTCTGGAAGGCTGTGGTTAGAGGATCAAAGATTTCCACTCACTCAACTCTTCTTATCCTCAAGTTAATTCTAATTCTTATTCTAAACAACTTTACTCCCACAGAATTTGTTGTGGCTTTTTTCTAACCCTAGCAGATTGATATGCCTCATTTAGGTATATAACAATAGTCAGGTTTCTTTTGTACCTCAATTCTAGCTTGACAATTATCTCTATATTAAAGCACCCAATAAAACTAGATAATTGAGCCATGGAAGACTTACTGAATGCTCGGTTTGATTAGACCTAGAACTCAGCAGGTGTAATGTTGAGTTTCATATGCAAGCATCTAGTTCCACTCTCATATACACTGTCTGCTTCATGCAATAATTGCCCCCACCTTTTGGTTATTGTTTGCACCCCTGTTTGTTTCCTTCTGAAATTTTAAGTTCTTTGAAAGCAAGAATTGTTACATTTTTCTTTGTATATAGGTGTATAGCACATTGTTCATCAAAAAATATTTGACAACAGCATCTTTTTGAAATTATGTATCCTACCTTTGTTTGAGCTGAGGTACATTGATATTAATAATAAAATATATATAACATAGTCTCCACTTATTGCCACACCGAATAAAAACAGAGTAATGGTGAATTTTCCTCTTTTTATTTCATAGAACTTAAGAGAAAAATAGATCAACTACTTTAAGACTTATTAATGACCAAATCAATGAAAACCTTAATTTTGGAGCCACTTACCATTTTTAATAAAATTAACAAATGGAGTATTTTTGATCATGATAGAGGTGACGTTAAAACAGATACAAATTCTTATGTTTAGAAAAGAAAGACCCAATTTGTCTGCTAGGACTAACTCTTCTTGAAATTGACTTCCCTAGGTACTCAACATTAAATTTGGTAGAAAGTTCACATTCGTAAATACAGAGAATAGAGGGAAATATTAGAAAAGTAAAGATGTGAGTATTATTAGTATGCCCTAGTACAAATTTCGCTTGGAGGATTTTTTAAAAAAGATTTCTTTATTTATGCATATAGAGCTGGGGTACAAACCAGAGGTGCAGGGGCGGTAAGAGGATGTACCAGAGACAGAGCAGGGAGCATAACAGGCAGATCGACAAAGTACACTGCTGAGGGGAGCAGCCGGTGAGACAGGAGAGGTCTGCTGCACCATGTGGATCACCTCCGGGGCAGGGATCAAACTCACACTGAAGCAGCTGCGGCCAGCCTGCAGTGGTGTGTCCTAATTCGTTGCACCACCTGGGAGGGCCTTCACTTGAAAGATTTTTATTTGTTGTCATTACTGAACACAATCGCTGCTATATTTTTGTTGCCTTTTCCTATTTTCTAAGCGTGAACCAGAAAGTCAATATTAACCTATTGATTTTTTTAAGTGAAACGTGTTCTTCAAAGTTACCTTGGATATTAAGTGAGAGATTTGTCAAATTCCGCTAGAGAATATGGTAAACAGATACGGTGGTTTTAAAATATTTTCACAAATGCTAACGTTGTTCTTTGCAATGTTTTGGTGGAATTAGTGACTGTTCTAGTAAGTAGAAAGTGGTGGTAGTGGTGCTATATGACCTCTCAATTTAGGCAATAATTTAGGTAATGAAAGTTACCAACTGTGCTGTCTAGCTCTCTTTTGGGTTACTGGGTCTAAAGGAAGTCAGTTACCAAGTTGTGAGAACATACTCAAATAGCCTGTTGAATACTCTATAGAGAAAGGAATTGTAGGAAGATTTCCCACCAAGAGACAGCATTAACAGGTTAGCTATGTGAGTTACCACCCAGCCCCAAATGTTCAGTTGACTATAACCTGAGCTGAAATCTAGACTGCAACTTTATGAGAGACCCCTATACTAGAAGTTCCCAGCTAAGCTGCTTCTGATCTGACCCATTAAAAGGATGAAGATAATAAATGCTTATTGCTGGAGTAGTAGGGCTACTTATTACACAGCAAGATATAACTAATACGATTAGTAAAGAATGCAAAAGGTAACAAAATTTCACATGCCTCTCACATCTAGTAACTGCTGCTTAGATAAAAATCAAGAAGGCCATACAATTATGAAAACAATGTGAGAAAATTTTACTTTTCTTCATAGATATTAAGTGGCATAATAAAACAAGGGAAAAAAAAAAACTCACCTTGCAAGTGACAGCTCCCACAACTTGCCATGTATCTGCTATATCCTGTTTATCATACTGCATGGATTTGACCTTTTCAGTGATAGAAATAGAAACTTGTGGCTTTCCTTTGTATGTTCCAGTTTTCCAGGCTGGCTGCTTTTGTGACTGAATTACAGAAGCCAAATTAATACTATCTAATGAATTCTGTAAATTGGCATCTAACAAAGTACCAAATGGACAAGTCTGTAGAAGCAAATCTGACAATTGGTTCAATTTTGTATTTAGCTCAGTGTCACTTTTTTGACCTGAGTAAAGAAAATCCTGCATCCCGAAAAGTAGTTCAAAGCCTTGTGAAATTCCACTGATACTAATTAATGTGGGACGAGGGGCTAACACTTGTTCAACAAGTGGAGCACAAGCATATATCATGTCATTCTTCAGGAAAGCAACAACTGGCCAGAGTTCTTCACCTCCTAGTGGGAGTCCATAGACAGAAGTTTTGTTGATGTGTGAGCAGCTATCACGACTCTGAACAAAGTCCTTATCATCATTCGATAACCTAAGTTCGAAGAGCAGTGCTTTAAGAAAGGGACCATCTTCAGGTATAGGCACGTAACTTGCTCCATTGAAGATTTTGGCTCGTTTTTCAACAGTTGGGTATCTTCTGCATTATAGAAATAAAAATTTCATAAGTGACACTTTCACGTAAAGTAAAAGTGGGAGAATCCAAAAATAAAACCCAAAACAAAAGGCAACAGTAACAACAATAAAATACACAATACATACAAACATCTACAAAAGCCACCACCCCTACCTCCAAATTAAGCCACATGTTGAATTCTTACTAGTGTAAACTTCCTATCCTTCTCAAATGATAAAGTATCACTATTTATTACTGAACATACCTAATTCAATTTACTCACTTTTTAAATAGGTAGATTTTATGGGTCTAATTCAAAATTCTAGTTTCTTGGCAACTCAGTTTTCCTTTTGTTAGGGAAGGAGTGAATAGTGGGATATATTTTAGGTATCTATAAGGTCTTTCTTCTGATTTCATCTTAGTAGATGAGGATCAAAAGAATTGGCTGTTTAACCATCTACAGTTGTGGATTCCCAAGTTGAAGTAATAAAATTTTAACAGGAATGTTCTATTCTACTCAATTGGAACAAATTAGCAGCAGGTATCCTGAAATGTCTTCCTACCCCCTTCAAAAATATGTAATAAGCATTTTAGTAATAATGACTTATCTCTATGGCTCTAGAAGATATTACTGAGGTAAAACAAATAAAATCTAAATACACTTTTATGGTTTGCATGCCTTACCCTGAATGATAAGTAGACTAATTCATATTCTTTTGGGAAGAAACAATAGAAGGTTTTTTGCTCATTTAAAGAAATGTCAGATCACTTTTTCATAGTTTACAATTACATACTTTTTTCTTACTCCTCCTCTTACTCCAAAGTCCAGAACAAAGAAATCTATTAGCTATTAACTTTTGTGGAAGTCACTTAACTTTCCTAAGTCTATTATCTTAGTTGTAAAATTAAGGAGTGGCTAAAGAACGTAACCGTAATTCTCATCAAGGATCAGGAATAGAGTCAAAACAATTTTTTTACCACGTTTTTAAAAAGAAATATAAGAATGTATTCAAAATCACCCATGTATTAGTGAGCCTCACTCATTTACAACCTGATTCATTTTCTGACTGAGAAAGGAGAAGGAACAATTAGCCAGAAATGGCCCAGCCAGTGAACACCATTTCTTTCTCTAAATCTCTGAATCAGAATAATTGAGAACTTTGGACTATACTTCAGTTCAGTGTCTTATCCTCTAGGTAGCTAGAGAATAATAAGTTTTTCTTAAGTGTAAGAAGCTTATGATTGGATGCTAGAAAAGACATGTTAATCCAGGACCTCATAGAATGCCTCAATGTGTGCTCAGTAAGTAGTGTTGGATAACTCACCTTGTTCTTTCAGACTTATTCTAGGTATTTTCAAAAACAGAACTCAAACCTTAAGTGGCCGCGTAACAATACAATACCAACCTAAGCCAGACTGAGCTAACATTACTATTATTTATTTGGACGGTAAGTCTCTAAACCTAAGCAAAATTTTGTTGTGGGGAAAAAAGTAGTTCAAGGAAAGGTTGTGTTTTTTAAATCTTAAATGATGGTTGTTATACTTTGGCACATGTGTGATAAAAAGTCAGTGCTTATCTGTTTAGCTCTAACACTAGTCCCAAAAGGTCAGGAAATTACAAATAACCAAAGTTAACTTGTTCAATGATATAGAATAAATAATAGAATTACTTAAACCCACATGCTAAGTCCACAGAGAAATCTATCTAAAATTTTCTACTGGTACAGTGGGGGAAAATTCTGAAAAACATGAAGTTCTGACTTATTTGTAAATATGAAAAATTTAACCTCTATGAAATACTAAGACTAGCTACAAAGACAACGATATGAATATAGTATGGTATTGGCAAAAGAATGGACAAAGTAATAGAACTGAGACAGACCATATTTATATGGGAGACATATTAAATGTCAACAGCACCACAACAATCATCAGGGAAAATAAATATATACTGCTTAGAGAGTGATGCTAAAAAACTAGACCCCTGGGCTCTCCCTTGTGGTGCACTGAGTTGAAGCACTGCGTTATGAAGCTGTCTGAAGCCATTGTATCAGAAGCTTGATCCCGGGCCAGGGAGCTGACCCACGAGGCATGGCAGACCTCTTCTGGCCCACCCACTGCTAGCCTCAGCAGTGTACTTAGTTAATCTGCCTGTTCTGCTCCTCACTCTGTCTCTGGTGAATCCTCTCACCCACCCCACCTCTGGCCTGTACCCCAGTTCCGTACGCATAAATAAATAAATCATTAAAAAAAAAAAACAAAACTAGACCTCAGTATAGTGAAAAAAATGAAATGAGATTGTTATTATTCCAAATCCAAAGATGGACTACAGGTGAATTAAGGCCTAAACGTAACAGACAAATCAATAAAGTTAAGAGATGATAATACTGGAAGGTATCTTTGGAAAATAAGGGTAGTGAAAGGTTTCAACTAATCCCCCCAAATGCTAACCACTTTAATTGCAATAAAATTAGTGATTTCTGTTTAACCAAGAACAACATGAAGTTATTAGACCATGATAAATTAAGAGAAAATATCTACAACAGCTAAAAATTAAGAAAGACTAGTATCAAGAATACACAATATATTCTGCATACTAATAGGAAAATAAAAAACTCAAAGAAAAAGCAGAGGATATATAAATATATGTAGACATATACTATATATTTATATATACACCAATACACACACAATACAGAAAAGGAAATCCAAAGGGCTTACAATCATTGCTACACAGAGAAATGCAAATGAAATTAAGATATCCTTTATGGTGAGACTATAGACTGGTGAAAGTATTCTGATGAGGTAATTGGTAGTATTTAGCCAAAATCAGCATAGAAAAGCCCTCTGGGTCTCTATGAAGAAATATACTACAACAATGTTCTTATGACTAAGTAGGAAGCAAACTGGGAGATCATCACAAAGGACTGGAGACAGGTGAAATGTGGAGGATGGGCTGACCACTACAGACCAAGAGGAAGCCCTGGTCTAGATGTGCACTGGTCAATATAGTAGCCACTAACTGTATGTGGGTATTTAAACTTAAAAATTGAGCTCTTTAGTTATAATATCCACATTTCAAAGGTTTAATAGCTACATATGATTAGCTGCTACATATCTGCATAGATTTGGAATATTTCCCATGTACACCACTGCAGAAAATTCTATTGGTCAGCACAGCTCTACATGAACACAAAGTAAAACAGATATTTCTTTATAATGCTGAGAGATTGACACATATAAGAAAAGGAAGTCTATAGCACATCTAATTCTGAATTATGTAATTTGAGAATCACGCACACACACGCACACAAGGGCATAGTACCAGTTAACTTGTGAGGGAGAGGGGAATGACAAGAATAAAGATACCCAAAGGAGTAGATAAAAAATAGGAGTCCACTGGATGGACCAATGAGGTTAATGAGCCATACTAAAGAATATTATTAACCTCTTTACTTGGGTACAACAATAAACATAGACCAGTAAAAAGTGGGTTACAGGGAGTGGTCAACTCTAACTAACACTTCCAGTAAGAAAACTTATTCAGGTTGCAAGGAGGGAATTTTTCATATCCAAGCTGCCAACCATTTTTCCATTGAAAATTATTCATCTTTATGTGCCTCAAACTCAATTCAGTTATTTGCTACTTCACTATAGTTTTTCTTAAAGAAGAATGAAATTTTAGGAAAGAAATTACTATTAACGACCACTGAGAATTAAATGAGAAAATAATTCAACATCACAGATGGAGGAAAAGAGTAGAAAACCTGGGGGAGGCATCACAAGGTTGGAACCTGACTCATACATGGAGGTAGCGACAAAAGGAACTAACATGACCATTAACCCAGTTACAGAGACTCCTAGATCAGACTGCTGTAGGGGCTATTGGAAGCACAGACCTGAGGGTAAAGATACATGTAGTTATCCAAATTCAGCAGTGCACAGGCCACCCCCAAAGGAGTGAGCCACTCTCAAAGAGAAATGGACTATATCAGGGCAGTCTCTGCAGTGGCTCAGGGCAGCAGTCTTCTGCCCACCTTGACTATGGAGGTGCTTCTTTCCCCCTATTCTCTCCTTCTGCAGGGCAGCAGCCTCCTGCCTGCCCAGTAACCTGTACCATGCCAGGGCTTCTCTGCACTGACCTCCCACAAAGGAGGCCCCTCCCTTAAGGCTGCCTGCCTGCAAGCATGCAGGCCTCTCTCAGCAAGCCTATCCCTTTCCATGCAACTCTTCCTGCCCGCTTGTGCCTATGCAAGAATCCTATACTCCTCTGTCCTTTTCCCTAATAAACCTGCTCTTTAAATATAGCTGAGTCTCTGTCTCATGGAGAAACTTGCCTGGGAAACTCACAGCATGCTGCTGAAAGGGGAGCTCTGGTGAAACCTTTCCCAGAGTGAACCCAAGGCCCCCAAACTCCAAAACTACATCACCACCACACTTTACAAATCAGTTATTGTCTAGTTTTTTTTTTTTCCTACTTAAGATAAAATATGGCAAATTCTAAAAAGGGACCAAATCAATTTACATCCTGTTAAGGGAACAGAATTATTTTTTCAATTTCCATTAACAATTAACTATGTGAAAATTTCTAGAAATAAAATCGTAGTAAGTTGAAATAACCATCTGACACTAAGCAAGAATTTTCTATGAATTAAACGTCCTCGAATGTTTTTATTATTAAAAGTAAAAATTCTGAAACATGGTTAACGTTGTTATCATCCCTTCCTTTCGTCATTCCATTATCAATCCTAAGCAGGTGGAGTTAGTGCTAGAATACAGCAATCCTATATTCAGTATAGTAATACTAAATACAGCAAATATATAGTCATGCTAAAATACAATAAAACTGATGTTAAAAGACACATACTATTTTAACACGCAACTCTCACTTCTCACAACCCTGTAGTAGCAGTATTAAAATCTCTGTTTAACAGATGAAGCAGAGGATAAGTGACTTGCCAACGTGGCGGACCCAGGGACACAGTGCCACACATGCTACAGCATCCATCTTCCGATTCATCATTTCTGAGGATTCAGACAGACATTTACCTGGAGAACCTGACGGTGCCACAAAGTGGAGTTCCTGGTTCGTGGCTTATGAGCCACACTGCCCGCTGGGCCATGATAAGCAACTAAAGCGTCAGCTCTTCTCCAGGTCCCCACTGCTGAAGAGCGTAGACCTGATTTCTCAAAGGGACTGTTAGCAGAAGGCCCGCGGTTCATTCATCCTGACCTACCAAATCCAGATCCTGCCACCCCCTGCCCTACCAAAATCAGATCGGGCTCAGCAGAGAAGGAGCTCCTTCCTGAGAGGTGACTGAAACCTCTTGAGTTTCTCCTAGCTAACACAGACTACCTAAGCTTCTGTGAACCCGCACCCAGAATCTCAAGAAACGCTGTTTATCTCCAAGCGTCTTACTACTTCTTCCTCTAAAGTCTACTTCCGGGATGGTGGCCGGCGAGGACCAAGCTTCCTCACTCGCCCCAGCGGCGGGCTCTCCGTGGTTCGCCAGCTACACGCTTCCCTCCCGGCCCCTCCCGACAGCCTCCCTGGCGCGCGCAGTTCCACTTCCGGCGTACGAGGCGGTGACAATGGGAGCGGCGCGGGCGGCGCCGGGAGGCAGCTGACAGGCGTCTGCGGCTTCGCTTCATGGCCGCTCTCCCGCCCCGCCTGTGCTGTGTGGGGAGTGGGGAAGCCCGTGGCGGCCTGGAGCCGGAGCTGGCGAGCCGAGCGAGGACTTGAGTTGCCGCGCCGTTGAGGCGCAGCATGTGAAGAGGAGACGGCAGCCAGTGCAAGGCGAGCCTCTCAGCCGGCCGGGATGGCTACGACGGCCGAGCTCTTCGAGGTGGGTCCCGACGACTCATCAGGGAGTGGCAGGCCTGGGGTGCTGGCGGCGAGGTGGGTGGGCGGGCTGAGCCGCGGGCTTCGGGGGAAAGGTGCGAAAGCGAAGGGGTGGAGTGCGGCTCCGGTGTCAGCGCGGGCGGAGCGTGAAGTGGGGGAGGGGTGGCGGGGACCGGGGTGGGTGGGGAGGTGCCCAGCGCGGGGAACCCGGGGTCGGAGAGGCGAAGGGTTGGTTTTGCCCGAGGGCTGGAGGGTGGGTTCGGGAAGCGCTGCCTGGGAGAGGAGCGGGCGTGCCGGCTCGGTTGCTGGGGTCCTCACGCTGGGCTCTGATGGGCCAGCCTGGGATCGGGACGTTTGGGGGCTTCTGGCAGATGATTAATTATTTCCTTAGCACATGCTAGGAGTGGCACTCATGCCTGCCAGTTTGCCCTTGTATTTAAAAAGGCTGGAGTCCGTTTTAGGACAATAAAGGCCTACTAAGTCATTCACACCACTGAAGGGAGGCAGAATTAAAATGAACTGAACATTTGTCTTCAAATGTTAGGGATGCTAAACGCTTTATTAAGCCCCCCCCCCCCGCGCCCCGCTAGCTAAAAGCAAAAGCCCTTAGGCATCGAGCTAATGAGCATTCAGTTGTGTTTCTTTGAACGTTTTCAGTCCCCAGACTTAAAATTTAATTTGGTGAAATACGACGTACGAAACTGATCCTGCAACAGGACGGAATAGGAAAACTAATTGAACCATCAAACAATGAGACGTATAAAGACTCCTTTTGTGAAAGAAAGGAAAGCAGAGATTGGGGTTAAAAAAAAAAAGGAAGATCTTTTTTGTGTATGCTTGTGTTTCACACTTGATAACAAAAGTGTAAGAATCAGGAAAACCCAGTTGACTGTAATTTCTCCATTAGTGAAAACTGGATCCCTTTTCTGCTTGATGATCAGCAGTTTTTGAGGGCTAAAATTTGAATATCACGGTTTTTATAACAATTCGAAACTTTTCACTTGTTACTGTAGCTATATTTTGGAACTGTCAGCTTTTGGATATATAGTGCTTTTGTTGCCAGGAATAACTTGCCATTGACAGTGAATTACAGTAGCAATTTGTGAGTGAGAAATTATAATTGCAAGGAAGATTTATGAAATATTAATTGTATGTGTCAGATTTAAGTGTTGGGAGATATATTGCATTAACTTCTCTAATTCCAAAATTGTACATCTGTTTATTGATTGACACAAGAGCTGGGAGACATTCTTTTTGCTAAAAGCTTTTCACTGTGTCCCTGGGCAAGAAACAAAGTAGTTCTGTATTTCCTTGTTTTATTTTTCACATTTACAGAGCTAGAAAACTATTTTATGAAGTTGTTTGAGGTCTTTAATTTACTTAATGAATTGAATGATTAGCTAGCTATTAATGGAAAACTGTTATTTTGTCACACAGTTCATAAAACATTAACCTTTAAGTTAATGACTCCTGCTTCATATTCCCAGTTGTGTCTTAGATCATATAATGTCTGTTTTTCCTTAAATGCTTGATACACAAACAGAAAACTTACTTGAAAATATATCTGGTTTCTGACCCCACTGCTACCAGGAGGGAAGAATTGTGAAAGAAATTTTACTTTCAAGGAAGGGTCTTCCCATTTAGTAAAGTAGTTAAAACAAATTAAGTCTTAACCTTACTCCAACGCTAGTTGGATGGCAATAGGTAATATTCACATACTGACCGATATTAAGGGACTGTATAGCTCAATGGCCAGTGTGTTTATAAGCACCCTCGAACATTTTTATAGATGTTAACGCATGTGATTTTCCTTTTCCAATAGTTTATTGCTTTATCAAAATTACAAGCATAGGAAATTTACAGTTACAATGTTAAAGAGTTATGATTAAGAAATACATTTATCTTTTCAGCCCTGCAGTGAACTCTAATCTTGAATAAGTTTTTATCCCTTAGTGAAAAGTTGATCTCTTTGTTTTAGAGGGAGGAGGAAAACAGTTGGGGAGTGTCATTTTCTCTTGCTCCCCTTTCTCAGTCACAACTGGAGAACTATGGGAAACAGGGGTCAGGATAGAGTCAAGGATATTTTGTTTTTATGTATCCTGCTTTTCATGCACTACTAAATTAAATTGTACTTTCATTTTCCACATGTTAAAAGCAGTTAAATCAACGTAAAATTAAGTTTTGAATCCGTGAACTTTCCTAAGTGTTAACTTCTTTTACAGTCTTACTGTTGGTCCTGTGATATCCTTTTTAAAAAATAAACACCTTCATACACAAAACTACAGTGTAATTCCTTGACTGACAAAAATGATTTAGTAATATGATAGATGACCAGTTACTTTAATAGTGTGTATCCTGGAAATTGACCAGAATACCTCTCAGTTTCACCTTAATGACAAATCTATCTCAATTGTTTCTAAATGACAACCTCTGGATGGGTATTCTCAGAAGGAATTCCAGTTTGATTTGAAATAGTTATGATCTTTACGTAGAACAAGTGACTGGGGTAATAAGTTCTTTTTCTATTGTTGCAAATAGTTCTCTTATTATACTACTAAGCACTTTGTGCCCCTTTCTCACTTCCTATTTTTTTCTTTTGACTCTTTAGAGTCTTCCTTTCTCTCTCTGCAAGCTACCTTTATAAGAGGTGTCTTTGCTGATTTGGATCGGCTACCTATTTATTCAGCAAATATTTGTTAAGCATTAAATTCAAGAGAAGGTTCCAAGATCAAAGAGGCTGCAGGTCTCAAAGGGCATGCCATAGAAATATTAATTCTGTGGCGTGAACTACAAAAAAATTAAATTGATTAACAGGCCAAGTAAGTTTTGGAATGGGCATACTTTGTTTCACTAGAGAAATTTTTTTTTAAAAGATTTATTTATTTGTGCATACAGAACTGGGGTACAGGCCAGAGGCTCAGGGGCGAGAGACTTCACCAGAGACAGAGCGGGAAACAGTAGGCAGATTGACGAAGTACACTGCTGAGGGGAGCAGCGGCTGGTCAAGAGAGGTCTGCCACTCCATGTGGTCACCTCTGGGGCAGGTGGGAATAGAACTCCTCCGGAAGCCGCTTTAGATTCTCAATGCTATGCTGTTATTAACCCTCTGCGCCACCAGGGAGGGCCCTCACTAGAGAAATTTAAACGAATATATATATGATTTTGAATTCATTTCCCAAACTTTTTTTGAACCATGAGGCTTTTACTTTCTACTGCTTGTTAATTTTGTGAATTTTGTAGAACACACTTTGAATTTCCAGGATGTTGAATTGTAATATAGAACCTGCCCTTGTTGTTAAATATGGGGAGAGAAGATAGATGTAAGATATGTAATTACTATATACCACTGAAATGTAGTTGTAAGTAGTGTTAGGCCTGGGTAAAGTGATAAAGGAGTTGAGAGGATAGGAAGATTTAAAGAAAAGGTTAGGAAATGGCATTTGAATAGGATGGATTGGATTTGAATTTGTGGAATTGAGTGGAGGTACTTTCCAAGAAAGGGAAAATAAAAACTGAGATGTAAAGGGAGGTATGGGGAGACATGGGGGTTCATTTTGGCTACTATCATAGCAAGCATGAAGAAGAGTGTCATGTAAAATAAATTGAGTTTAATTATGTATGTCCTAAATGCTAGAATTAGAAATTTGATCTTTTTTTCTTTTTTACCTTGATAGTTGTGTTTGATGTCATGTCATCTATGGTGACGATGACTGACTTCCAGAGTAGAATTTGAAGAGGCAAGAACACATTTTTTCACACAGACACATTTATGTCTCTTAGATTTTCAACTGAATTTCAGGTGCTATTCAAACAGACTTGTTAAAAAGGACTTTCTTGTTCACTTGACTAGCTAAATACATGTTAATGAACATAAGATGTGTAAGCCGGAACTATCTCTTTACAACTTCAAGGTGCTGAACTGCTACTTGTTTTTGCCATATTAGCTATGTTTTTCGAATCTGGCTACCAATTACTGCATTGCATATATGAGAACATGTGTTTATTCAGCAAACATTTATTAAGCACCTTACTCTAGGTCAGAAGACATTCTAGGTACTGAGTTAACATAGTTTGAGTTTAAAATCTAGTTGAGGGAGTGATAGGGAAAGAACTCTTGTTTCTTCTCTGCTTATTCTATTAAACTTTCAATATTTCACTTCTGACATCCAGTGTGTGGGGAATTTTCCCTGAGTAATTCAGTTTGGTTTTCTAGCAGACACAGAATGGAGGTCCTTCAATTCTATCTTGTCACTAAGTCCCTAAAGAGTTACCCTTAATTTGTCACCTATGCTTCTGACTGCCCAGTGATAAATCGAACGTTCTTGTGAGCTCCTCCTCTGTTTTAATAATTTGCTAGAACAGCTTACAAAACTCAAACAGTTTACTCACTAGATTATGGACTTACTATCAAAGCAACAACCAGTTGGAAGAGATGTATAGGGTGAGATATGTGGGAAGACGTGCATAACTTTCCTACCCTTTCTGGGTATGCTTCCCTCCTGGCACCTTGAGGTTCAGCAACCTGGAAATTCTCAGAACACTTTTAGGTATTTTTGTGTAGGCTTCATCATGTAGGGATAGTTGAGTGTTAACTCAATCTCTGTCCCTTGTCCCTTCTCCAATGGATAGAGGTTAGGGGCTGAAAATTCCAAGGTTTTCATCACGCTTGATCTTTTTCGTCCCTGTCCAGAAACCCAACAAAAGTTGCTTTAGTACAGCAAAAGATGTTCCTATGTCCCAGAGAATTCCAAGGGATTTAGGAACCCTGTGTTTATTAACTTCCTATAAATTATAAGGTTTTAGGAGCTGTTTCAGAATCCCATTTCAAAGACCAAATATTAGAACAAAGAATACTGCTAGTACCTTTATCACTTAGGCAATTACAAAGGTTTTAGGAACTGTGACTTAAAAGCTGAGTACAAAGACCAAAATATGTTTCTTTTTCTATCAAAATATATAAAGACACATTAACAGATAGAAAACATTTAGAATAGATTTAGAATA